TATAACAACAGTACTTAATACACTGTAATATAACAACAGTACTTAATACACTGTAGTATATTAACAGTACTTAATACACTGTAGTATATTAACAGTACTTAATACACTGTAGTATATTAACAGTACTTAATACACTGTAATATAACAACAGTACTTAATACACTGTAATATAACAACAGTACTTAATACACTGTAATATAACAACAGTAATTAATACACTGTAATATATTAACAGTACTTAATACACTGTAATATATTAACAGTACTTAATACACTGTAATATAACAACAGTACTTAATACACTGTAATATAACAACAGTACTTAATACACTGTAATATAACAACAGTACTTAATACACTGTAATATAACAACAGTACTTAATACACTGTAGTATATTAACAGTACTTAATACACTGTAGTATATTAACAGTACTTAATACACTGTAGTATATTAACAGTACTTAATACACTGTAATATAACAACAGTACTTAATACACTGTAATATAACAACAGTACTTAATACACTGTAATATAACAACAGTAATTAATACACTGTAATATATTAACAGTACTTAATACACTGTAATATATTAACAGTACTTAATACACTGTAATATAACAACAGTACTTAATACACTGTAATATAACAACAGTACTTAATACACTGTAATATAACAACAGTAATTAATACACTGTAATATATTAACAGTACTTAATATACTGTAATATATTAACAGTACTTAATACACTGTAGTATAACAACAGTACTTACATGTAGATACACTGTACATTACTTACATACTGTACATGAACCAATATTTGGTTGTAGGTTGCTGTTCACAGTCAGAAACACTCCCATCCATCAAACTGGGCCGGGTACATGCTGTTTGGTAAAGACATCATCCTAAAGGACAGAGCCACTGACCTCTCTAGGAGCATCAGGTCAATGCTACAGAGCCCAACGGACTACCTGATAGCTGGACTGAAGACACTCCAGGCTATGGTAAACTGATATTTAATAGATACATGACACTATATGTTCATGTTCATGTATCTAAAGTGTATCTTGTCTAACATTTGTTCTCTCTATATAACAGATTGTGACGTCACTAAAGCACTTGTCTCAAGGTATCACTCAGTCAGAACCGAAAGTAG